GGCCCTTGTGGCAAAGGCTTGGTCCTCAGCTTGCCACCTGGAGCTCCTTGGGAGGTTTTAAGTCTTTAGGGGTGTGCCCTTAAAAAGGATTGTAGGACCCTCAACTCTTCCTCTTTCACTTTTGCTTCCTGACCATGAACTGAACATTAAGCTCTGCCCCCAGATCACTACCCCTACCAGAGGCCCCAAAACAATGGGTCCACCTGGTCATGAGTCAAAACCTCAAAAACTAGGGGTCAAAATACCTTTTTTCTTATAAGTTGCTTAATTTGGGTATCTGTTACAGTAACGAAAAGCTGACTCATGTAGTGATGTCAGGTAGTTTTGTGGTTTCAAGTCCTTCAAAGAAGATTCATCTTGCCCTAATGTAAAAACCACCCATGTTGGAAGTTATATTTTATGGAGTCATAGTACATAAACTCCTGCATGTGTGAAAGTCTCACACACACACAAACACGCACACACACACGGAGATTTACACACATTAGCCTTCAGTGGTATAGTGCTTAGTACCTGGAAGCTGTTTGAATCTTCCTGTAAAGTAGGCTGTGAGATAATTTCTGATTTAGTCCAATTTCTAATTGGAGCTGTGTCCTTATTTGCTTCATCGTGCATAAGAAATAAACAAGTGAGTAAGACTACCCCAGTGTGCTTGGTTTTTACATTAGAATGGAATTGTTTGGAAAGGAATATGGCAAAGTAAATTTTTGCCCTTGGGGAAAATAAACAATGATAAAACCATCTATGGGCAAGCCAAAGGAAAGACGTCCATCACCCAGGGCTGACCTCTCTATACAAACGCACTGAAGGATTAAAGGAGCAAACCTGTGGTCTGTTTTGAAGCAGACAGTGCATGACTTTTGTCCACGGATAAGATAAACTTTCTACTGGAAGTGAAAAGGGAAAAAGTGGGTACAGGTGGCTCATGGTCACACAGGTGGTGTTGATCAGACCTAGTGGTCACAAATGCCAACCATCTGTAAGGAAAGCTGTTCAAGCCTGGCCGTCAGAGACCTCGGGGCTGGATTCCTTTCACTGGTTGTTACTTGACCTCTTTCAGATGCAATGATCTCACCTGGAAACAGGTGACGATAAAACCTACAAAACGAGTTACCTAATAAGAAGCCCAGCACACTCCCGAACCTACAATAAATAGCGCCAACGGTTAGCTGCTACTTGCATTTGCCACTAAAAGTACTCCCACCGTTGTGACTGTCTGCTGGCGCCCTCTGCGGTCCCACCAAGTTCAGCGATGGCCACGGGACTCACCAATGAAGAGCTGGCTGTTGAGCTGCAGGCGCACGTGCCCGTCTGCAGGGGCCAGCTGCGTCCTCCTGGGGAGCTGGTCCACCTGCAGGGAGGCTCCCTTGACATTCCTCTCTGCCCTCACGTGGTGCCACCGCTTGTCATTAAAGGGAGTGGGTGACCACACCGTGACCTCACAAGGTCCATTCCCCACATCAAAGGAAAAGGTCACTTCTGTGGGAGCTAAAAATATCATATATGAATATAGCCCAAGTTTATTCCCAGGGGAGTATTGAGTTGAGTCAGGGAATCATGGCGTGCTCTTTACAAAAGGGGACAAAGGTGTTGATGCAGACATGTGACTCGAGTTGGGGAAGGGAGGCAGGAGAAACTTGTATCCTGGAGGATAAAAACAAAACCACACTGATTTTAACATATTCACTTTGAGTTTAATACTCAACGCACACAGTTCTAGTCAGTAGATATGTACCCCTAGAAAGAATAAGAAACAAATTTGTTTTGTATCCATAAGTAGTTTTACTCAAAAGTGTTTCAAAGTCTCCTCTAATTTTAAAACAAAAGATGCAAATTTTTACAGTCATAAATTAAGCTCTGAGTACATGAAAAAAATATTTGATCAAATATTTTAGGAAACAACTTTGTGAGTTTGGTTTAAAGTTCTGACTCTAGTTGGCAATGGTCCAGGGAAGGCGAAACAGTTTTATGGATTATTGTGTACTTTAGCTTCATGGTTTGACCCTTAAAATGATTGATGAAAATTATAGAACTTTTGTGGTTAAAAAATAAATATGATTACAAGGTAAGAATGACACTATTTAAATTTTGTTTAGTCAGTTTTCAATGCCAAGTAATGGGCATCCTGTGACTTGTCCGGGGGAGGGGGGGGTTCACTCACTCTGCAGCTCTATCCTGATGAAGTCTGTGATGCCCAGGTTCTCCATAAACACACCAGAGAAAAGCGTGGTCTTAAAAAAGAACTGAACATCCGCAGTGAGTTCTCCATGGAAAGTGGGGAAATGAAGGTATGAGGTCTCAGTGTTGAAAGAAGCCGAATTCCAAAATGACTCTGTTTATGCCAAAAAAAGGAAAAAAAGAAAAACTCATGAATCATTTTTACTGCAACTTCTAGAAGCCTTCCCTGCCTCACTGGGTGTTCTCATTCATGCCCTATCATCAGGACATCGCATTCAACAATTATTTTAAGGGTTAGAATTCTGTGTTGAGAAAAGACGGAGGGTAAGCAAAGCAAAAGTGTGACTGATTGTCACACAAACAACGTGGGCAAGAGATGAGGGAGAAGGTGCCCAGGGAGGTGGAAAGACAGGGATAGATTGCAGGATCATTTTCAAGTTCAAGTCAACAGAATTCACTGCTAAATTGGATGCAAGTGAAAGAGAGTCTGAGATGACACCAAGGGTTTGGGGAATAATTTTGAAGAAGCAAGTTTGACAGGGATACATTATATTTGAAATCTCTATTCAGCACCAGATGGATTTTTGGAGGCAGCAGTTGGTCTATGACTCAGGAAGCCAGATCATAGAATCTTGCTTTCCATAATTTTTGCAAACTAACAATAAACAAATACAACCCATCATCCTAGTAATACCCTTCATAGCAAAAACAAAAATCAGAACAAAAGAAAAAACTCCTTTTTTTTTCCTTCTGGTCAAGAATTTAATCCAGGACCACACTTTATATTTATTTCTCAAGCCCCTCTAGTGCCCTTCATTCTAGACTTTTCTTGTCTTTAATGAATACAACTGCTATGGTTTAGATGAGTCAACCCCCCAAATCTCATGGATGAGACAATGCAAGAATCTTCAGAGGTGAAATGATTGGGTTATGAGAGACTTTAGCTAATCAGTGGATTAATCCATTCATATAGATTAACTGGGTAATCATAAGCTGGTTGGGTGTGTCTCAAAGAGGTAGATCACTAGGGGCATGGCTTTGAGGTTGATATTTTGTCCCTGGGAAGCAGGGCCTTCTCTCTACTTTCTGATC